CAGACACGATGTCAGGCACGATCGTGCCTTCGATCGTGCCTCCGGAGCAAAAACGCGCATTTTGGGCAGGCACGATCGTGCCTCCCTCCAGGCACGATCGTGCCTGGCTGGCAGTAACTCCTCCGTGTTTTCTCTTCACGCACGATCGTGTCTGACTTTGAGGTCACGATCGTGCCTACTTAACTTCCGAATTTGACGAAACTTCCTTCATGAAAGTTGTAGATAATGAAGTCCTCTATCCACCCCAATTTGCCGATTGTGATTTGAATCATCCAATCAAGAGATATGATCAAAACGGTGGAAGGTGTCTTTCTGAAATCGCAGCAGAGATCATCTGACTTCATCGTCTGTTTTCACCTTCTTACTCTCATATTCTCGCAAAGGTGTCTTCATATGATTTGTAGCCCTTGAAGTTGGCTTTCTTATGGAACTTGAATCGTGTACATTGGATGTTTCTACAAAGAGATATGCTTGAACGATTGACAGAAGGTCATCCTGATCGTCGTTTTCAAGCTTCATTCATCTTCTTTTGATCCCGAAGCCAGTCCTAGAGCTCTTTTTCCTTCAAATCTTCATCGTGAATCTTCCGGTGACCTCCAAAGCTATCAAATCATTCTCAAATGCTTCTCAAATCATCCCGATTGTTCCTCAAGTGCCGGTGCCGGGCTCAAATTCCCTGATTTTGACTACAAACAACACAAAACTCGAACCAACACCCGGTAAACATAACTTGAGCTAAAATTGAGACTTGTAACACCTTAAAACTAGGAAAATCATCAAAAGCCGATCTCAACACGCATCAAATACGTGTCAAAATACGGACTTATCAAATTCCCCCACACTTAAGCCTTTGCTTGTCCTCAAGCAAACTGAACAACGGGACTTACGTTAATCACCACACAGAATTAAAATAATTAGCGTGCACAAGTAGTTAAAGGGATATTCACAGAACATGCAGACTAAACCAAGAAAATTCTTCCCTAAACTACATCTTTGTACTCAAGCTAAACTATTTGACAAAATTATTCACAACATCCTCAAAGTAGTGACAGCACACACAAATAAACTAGTTATTGATCAGAAGGACTTGTGAAGGTGGTGGTGAATGGATCATGGATAAAAATAATAGTCCCTTTCTTTTGAGAGATTTGAATATTTTAACGAAGACTCAATGTATTCAGGAACTTCAGGGCTATTCTTAGGAACAAGGAATTCAGTAGGCCACAATTTAGGAATAATCATTTAAACCTATGCAAAGAGTAGACATGGTGTACAACTAAGCTAAACCGTCTCAGCACATTTGTGCTTTGACGTATACTTGAAGTACGCGGAGGACTAAAGCTAATTTTTTCAATAGCCTCCAAGTTCATTAATTATGTTTAGTTTTCCTTGTCATGTTGGCACAAGAACGCCGTTTCTTTCGAAAGATACCCAAGTCTCATCTTACGCTTTTTGACCGGGGCTCCCATTCTCTTTTTCGCAAAGTAAGAGGTCTAGCTAAATTAATTTTTCACCTTTCGGATTCTCACTAGACATTACCCCATTCTAATCTCGGCCTCACCAAGGAAAAATAGCAATTAAAGTTCATTAATTTAAAAGTGAATCCATGCCTACAATGCAATCCTCGAAAGTATCAAATTCCTAAAAAGTGTCTGCTCTTACCCCATTTGGAGCATAGGAACAGTGCCAAAAATGGCTCCTACACAAAATTCCCTAAACCTAGCAAATTAATCCCTTAGTTCCCTAAACATCAAGACTAAGTCAGAAATATTCATGGAGTAAGGAACACAGGCCATTTGGCTATGGAGCTCAATTAATTGGGTATCAATAAACGGTCAGGCTCAAAATGGCTTTTCCTAAAGGATTTTTTTTTTCAGGTGGGTGATGATTAATGGAAAATTCAATGAGTGACTAATGCCTTCATCCTTTCAACAACTATATTACCATGCAAACAATTTAAGCCTAAACACTTCAAGAATGTCATAAAGCATAGTCAAAACGCTAGCCAGCTCACAAAGACACAGTTTAAAGAAAAATTTTCAAAAATTTTGCATGAATTTCCTATGAATATACAACTAACACCTGCGCATGCTAACTCTAATAAATCTCATGTAACAACCACTGCCCGAATGCCCAATTCACTCCCCCACACTTAAACTTTGGCATCGCCCTCGATGACCAAAAATGCACTATGCACAAGGGAATAAAGGGGAAAGGGTCACGCGTGCTCAACTTAGCTCAAGTCAATTATTACAAAAAGGCGATTAAAAGAGTCGCAGAAACTTCCCTAAGGCGTTAGTCGGTGCAGAACTAAACTGAGTCAATGTAATCCTCGGCACATCATCCCTATAACAAGACCCTTGAGCTGCAACAAAAACACAAAGCAAAACAACCAAACAACAAACAAAGCAAAAGCAAAAACAAAAGCAGAAAAAAAAAGCTCGGGTTGCCTCCCGAGAAGCGCTATTTTTAACGTCGTTTGCCCGACACAACTACCCCATAGGCTCTCCAATAGCAAAGACTGTAGTGGTGCACTTATAGTCAACGTCTCCAGCTTCCTCTCAACAAATGTCATTAGGTGGCGCAAATCTTTAAATTCGTCAGCCCACGAAGGCAGCACATGGTCTTCATAACCCTCATCAGCACAAAAGTGAAGTATGAAACTCTCATCTTCTTCAGGTGGACAGAAAACATGAGTGAAAACTTTGATTACTCTAGGTATCACTGGAATCTCAAAAGATGTCTCAAAGCAAGGAGTAGGAGCAACACCGTAATCAAATTGCACCATAGAAAAGTCCTCTTCTTCCTCACAGATATCATGAACATTCACAACCTCTCCTCCGGACTCTGTATCACTCTCCATGAAGGCATCCCAACTCTCGTTAACATTGTTCTTATCAATAACTTCCCGGATGATGTTGTCATTCTCCACATAAAAAGGAATTTCGTCATCAAGGAGTGAATCAAAGAAGTCCATATCTGAAACCACGTAAGAGTGGACCGGTGCATGAGTACAAGAGGGGAATTCTTGCTTATGGAGCGGGACTTCTTCATTATGAACATCATGTAACTCACCCTCACTCTCTTGGAGCATGTAATCATCTTTTCCCAACTCAGCTTCAATACCCAAACCTACCTCAGTAGCACCATCATCATGACTGATCTTCTCCTTGCCCTCCTCAGGTGTTGAGACTAATGATAAATCGAACGGCTGAGGGGTTTCTATATGAAGATCACAGTGATTTGTGACTTCATCAGTTACATCTTGTACCGTTTCAAACTTTTTCCTGTATTCTTGGAAAAACAACTTGACACTATTATCTTCTTCTTCATCTTCAAACATAGGAGGGTCTTCAAAGGTATCAGGAAGTGTATCATCCATCATATTCCCACCTTCGCAGTCCGACTCACTCACATGATCATCCCTGTTGGTCTGCTCAGGTTGGGCTTTTGTGTCGCTAGGATGGGATCTCCCGGACTCCTCAGATAAAGCCTTTGCAATCTGCCCCAATTGATTCTCCATGTTCTGCATACTTGCATCGGACACTTGCATAAATTTCTTTAGTGTCTCTTCCAGGTCAGACAGCTTCTCTGAAATTATCTCTTCCAATTCGTCGTCTGAATCTTGTGGCTCATAGCTCGGCAAAGACGTAGGAGTGACTGAAACATTTGTGTTCGTAAATTGTGGGGAGGAAGAAGTGGGGTATGCAGTTTCCCGGAAAGGATGATCATATAGAGGTTTGATGGGGCAAAGACATAAATGGTGATCTCCTCCACAGAAGGAACAAATGCTATCCTTAAAACATTCAGATATTTCCTCAGGCGTTTTATTTAGAAGCATAAATTCAAGAATGGAGCCTCGTCTTACGCTTATCCAAGGGTAATGTGATGAAGGATAGTAAGAATCAGAATGAAAGGGTTGTGTGGTTGGAGTGTACGGATAAGAAGGCTGAATATTTTGTGGTGTAGGAGAGTAATTTTGAAGAGGTGTGTAATATTGAGGAGGAGGAGTGTAAGGAGGGTATGGCGTATATGGTGAATATTCCATGGAGGTTTGAGGGTAAGGAATTCCTCCAGGAATTTGGCTGAATAGGTTCATCTCATGCCTCTTGGAAAAATACCTGAAAGGTTAGCACAGAAAAATCCTACGAAGAACTAAAAAAAAACTAACTAAAAAAAATCTCGCTGAAATTAATTAACCCTTAAAACCGACACCGTCCCCGGCAACGGCGCCAAAAACTGATGTGAGTTTTCTCGCACTTAAAATAGTTGTAGAAAAGTGGTTGAAAGTACGAGTATCGTCTCCACAGGGACGGACAAAAGGGAATTAAGAATTAACTAAATTCAGCGATTAAAAAGAAAATAAAATAAAAGCGTCGTGCGAGAATTGATTGGTTTGGAAAATAAAACTAATGCGAACAATTAAACTAGGGGGTTCTTTCTAATTAATGACGAAGAGAACAGGGATCGATTCCGGGGTAACCAGATTTCTGGCAGATCAGGCCTAATTACATGAAATTAATTTAATTGAGCCTAGCTAATCATTACTAAGTTCTTACCGCTCTCGCGGCGTAGAGTACAATAATTTAGGGGTCCAGGCTGATCTCTCATGCGACAAGATCCTAAATTATTGCCAAAACGAGCGAGCTTACGGCCCCTTAATCGCTACTAATCTCTTAGCGAACGATTATGTGTGTGTGAATGTGTCCTAGAACAAATTAGATCTCTCTTAATTCATTCTACATGCAATTGTAATTCTAGCTGCAGTCTAGGTTACAAGAGATATCAATTAAATTATTCAAACACAAATTAAACGGCATTCATGCAATTAAACCGAAAAGAATCTAACCATACATCATGATTAACCCCTTCATCAACCCCAAATCCCTAATTAAAACTACTCACAATTCATAATTGAAGAATCAATAGAATTGGAATAAAAAGAATTAATTGTCATTAATTAAAAAGGTGGAACTTACAAAGAATCCCAAAAGATTGATGAACAAGGCTGAAAAGCCCTCTAAAATTCGTGCTAGGCACTCTCTCTAAGCTCCCCCCTTGAAAACGGGGGTTTACAGGCTGTTTAAATAGAAAAATCGGGTGAAATTTGAGCTGAATTAGGATTTTCGGAGCCAGACACGATGTCAGGCACGATCGTGCCTTCGATCGTGCCTCCGGAGCAAAAACGCGCATTTTGGGCAGGCACGATCGTGCCTCCCTCCAGGCACGATCGTGCCTGGCTGGCAGTAACTCCTCCGTGTTTTCTCTTCACGCACGATCGTGTCTGACTTTGAGGTCACGATCGTGCCTACTTAACTTCCGAATTTGACGAAACTTCCTTCATGAAAGTTGTAGATAATGAAGTCCTCTATCCACCCCAATTTGCCGATTGTGATTTGAATCATCCAATCAAGAGATATGATCAAAACGGTGGAAGGTGTCTTTCTGAAATCGCAGCAGAGATCATCTGACTTCATCGTCTGTTTTCACCTTCTTACTCTCATATTCTCGCAAAGGTGTCTTCATATGATTTGTAGCCCTTGAAGTTGGCTTTCTTATGGAACTTGAATCGTGTACATTGGATGTTTCTACAAAGAGATATGCTTGAACGATTGACAGAAGGTCATCCTGATCGTCGTTTTCAAGCTTCATTCATCTTCTTTTGATCCCGAAGCCAGTCCTAGAGCTCTTTTTCCTTCAAATCTTCATCGTGAATCTTCCGGTGACCTCCAAAGCTATCAAATCATTCTCAAATGCTTCTCAAATCATCCCGATTGTTCCTCAAGTGCCGGTGCCGGGCTCAAATTCCCTGATTTTGACTACAAACAACACAAAACTCGAACCAACACCCGGTAAACATAACTTGAGCTAAAATTGAGACTTGTAACACCTTAAAACTAGGAAAATCATCAAAAGCCGATCTCAACACGCATCAAATACGTGTCAAAATACGGACTTATCAATGTTCTTCAGCCATCACACACTTATCGTACTTCAATTCTTCATGAATGAGAATGTCCTCCATGGAGGGGATATAAGAATCGGGGGGCACTGGCATTCCGACGTAGTCACGCAGTGATTTTCCTCTTTGCTGGAGAAGCTTCTCAATCTCCACTAAACAGTACTTCTGAATTTCTTCTTTGTCTAGTTCCAACTCTTCAGAAGATATGACACACGCATTTAAATGTAAGTATGAGTCAAAGAATATGAATTACAAATAATTGTTAACCACAGAACATTAAATTGTTATGACTAATATAAACGTGTACCTTGATCATGAAGGTTCTTCCTCACATTGTATAATATGTCTTCTGACAAATACTCCCAACACTTTTCCCAAACCGATTGAGGCTTAGTCATCGATCCCTGCAATAGAAGAGTAACAAACAAATGACGCAGCCATCGCGCCATTGCTGAATGACTTGACTCTGTAATGCCATCTATGTACTCCTTGTCATCTCCCTGTAACCCGCGAGCATAACAGGCATCCCTAAATGTGTCATATATCTTTCCATCAACAGTTCGCAACTCTTCAAAATTTCTTGGCCCTTTTACTACATTCAGCAGAACTCTCAAGTAGTACTTCTCACCTGCTCCGGGACGCACAAAGAACACACGCCCAACCGCAAACCCCTTTTTACGCGGTGACCACTCCCTTTTCTTTTTGTTCCATGTGAACTTAGATGGAAAGTCAATGTATGTCAACTCCCTAGCCTCCTCATAAAGTTGGTTTGCTCTCATCCAAGCTATAAACTTCGTAGAGTGAAGAGTGGTGTTACTGAGTACTGACTCAATGGATGCATCAGGTTTGTAGTATACATTTTGCTCTCCTGGTAGATGAAAGCTTAACCGCTCAACGGGAACATCCCTGTAATGGATATGGTATGAAAAAATTCTCCATGCAGCCTCACAAGCAGAGATGTATCGACAGTCATAATACATCTTGATCTCATCGATCTTTTGTGGTTTGGTGCTGTCAGTAGCTTCTGAAAATGCAACAGTTATCCGATCATCCCCTTTATTTATATATTTGAAAAGATACTTCACTGACCGTGATTGATTACACCACTCCACATTGATGTGTGCTCCATACTTAAGAAGCAAAGTACGATTATGTGGGATAACATATCTATTGTCCATAAGATGACCATTTTTCTCAACAGACCTTCCATTGTTTCTCCTCCTGTATTTTGGGTAACCACTCTTGTCAATGGTCGTCCGTTGGGAGAATTTTTTAGGAAAATGCTTTGTGCAATGCCCTTTATCCATACACGGTGAAGACATGTTCATCTGCCCACATGGCCCATGAATCATCAATTCTTTGACTACATTATAGTAAGAGGGATCAGAGTTTTCATCAGGTATCTCTGCAGATATTATTCTGTCTATATCTGCGGAAAATACATTCCTCTGTCTTTGTGAAATCCATAGAACGATATGAGCATGCGGCAATCCACGTTTTTGAAACTCTACGGTGTAGACAACTGCAAATATTAAAGTAATTCTAAAATTAAATAATGTTGTATTTGCATGTGGCAAAAAAACTATATGATGAAACAAAGAAACAATTTCCATGATAAGCATTTGTGAAAAACATTAATTACCTGCCCGCACGTTGCCAAACATCTTATTTTGTTTCAAATCCTTGATGAGTAGATCGAGTTTCATTTTGAATATCCTAGAAAGTATATCAGGTCTATCATCAGGACTCAGTCCTCTTGGTTCCACAAAACTGAGAATTTCGGGCCACTTTGGGTTACATGTGAATGTAATAAACAGTTGTGGATATCCAGCCCATCTGCATATAGCCATAGCATCTTGATAATTCTGCAGCATGTAACGTGCACTCCCAGTAAATGAATTCGGAAGAACAATGAGTTGACCTGTCCTCGATGCATTTGTCTCTCCTCGTCCAACAGCATCTGCCAATCCACTATACAGATCACTCCGTAGCTCCTTTTGATGTTGTCTGATATACTGCAAGCGGCATGACTCAATCATCGTATAACCGTCAACCAAGAGTTGTTGGAACAATCTCTTTGTTCGCAATATATATGGGGTCTCAACCATGCGATCCTGAAATCTATATGAAAAGTACTCTCGCATAGTAACATACTTTCTCCCTCAAGTGTTCCCTTCAGTGTTCTCTTCATTGTTCTCTTCAGTGCTCCCTTCGGTTGCACGGGTCAACAACACATTTTCTCTAAAACCGTCCTGGCCATAAGGAAAGAGAAGTGGATACTGCAACCCAAGATAAGCTGGGTTTAATTCTGAGATGTACTGTAAAGAACCAGACTTCGTTTGAAGAAGAACATCCCTCTCTTTTTTGTTCACATCAAAGTCTCCCTCTATTAAGGCAGCTACTTCGCTTACAGTGGGGGTATTGTACGTACGGCCTTCTGAGTTCCTCTTGCCTATTAACTTCATTTTCAATGAAGTCGAATTAGATTCATTGAATCTATCCCTCGCCATCCTAAAAGACTGTGCATAAACATTGTATGTGTCCAACATGTCTTTCAGTTCAACCACCAATGTATCATGTAATGATGTACCACCGTCACGCCTATAACATGCAAGTGAAAGTTCGGTAGCAAATGACGTGCAAGAAAAATACCACACAAGTGAACATTAATGATATGTGGTGTGCTTAAAAATAATCCACAAGTTTTGAACCACTAACCTGACAGATGCAATTCTAAATGAGACCTCTTCGTTTGGGTCAGATAAGTACATCTGCAAGAATTTTGGTTGATTCCCATCAGTAGGGAGAAGGCTGCCAATTCTATGGTAATTTTGCCCATTCAATCTGAATATTGGTGGGTTGTTCCCTCTATTCACATCGTGGTCAACTTTTCCACCCATGGAAGTGAAGGAAAACATAGAATTATATGACCTGATGTTTTCAAGGAAATGTCTGCTGCGTTCATCGTTCCCAAAAATCAGATCATACAACAATTTTGGTGGTTTTTGCATCTTAGGAAGTACAACATTCCCTTTATTGCAACACTTGGAGAACTTGGGTCGCTCTTTGACTGAACTTCTCTTTACTCTTTCAGCATGCCAAAAAAGTGCTCTGCAATACTCGCACTCGTAAATAGCATCATGTAGATCTACATAGTCTGAAAAAAGGTAATGACATTAATTTTACATGATAATATAAGAATATGATATGTTAATACTATATGCACACACCTTCTGTCGAACATATTGCATATTCTGCATCCTCCTCTGCAAGAATAGGTAGTAATTAGACTTAACATAAGTAAGAGTTAATACTTAAGATTGTAAAGAGATAATCAATTACAAAAAAAAAAAAAAGATGACACAAATATTCACCATCAACAGGTAGTCCTTCATCATCATCGGACTGTCCATCCATTGCATTCTCTAAACGGTCACTTGTGAAAATGGCATTTATGTGTCAATATTAGTAAATAAGTGTTTTAGGTGATTAGTAAATAATTGCTTGCCTTCATTGTGATTGCTGCACTCAAATCTTGGTATGTCCTTCATGCGAGCTGAGTTTTGAATACGTCCTTCAAACATGTTCGACTCAAATAAAACGTAGTCATCTTCAGGTAATAGGGACATTCCAAAACGCCATTTGTCTGTACTTGTTGGGCGTACACTTGCAGTGCTATTATTTGTTATGGCTATTTTTGAAATGTTTAATGAAAGAATTAGATCATATTCATGGTAAATACGAAAATTTGATTGAATAAAATGTTACCATTTGTGATATCCTGTAATGGATTTCTTTTTGAGTTTGAAGATGATGGAGTGTTCCCTTGAAGATTTGTGTGATTCTCAGAGTGGTTTAAACATCCGACAACCTTCTCATGAGTGCCTTCTCCATCACGCGTTTCATTTGTCGTTGGACTTACATATTCGTATGAAGACCGTGGTCTTTTGCCCAGTATGATGGTTGATTTTGTCAACTTCTTCATCTAGAAGAAGACCTATATAATTCATATTTAATTTAACTAAGAATTTAAGTTAAAAATTCTTAACATAATGTACAAACCTTAAACTATTTTTTATGTATCTATTTTGCAGCTTTTTATTATACTACATACGCCCCAAAATATACTTAGCCAAATTCAAAACTTTAACCAATTATATATATTTATTTAAAATTGTTTATAATATAAAAATAATATGAAAATGTACTTTATTAAAAGTACTTTCATAAGAGTATATATTTTATAATTTTCATAATATTATACTAATATTAAAAGTACTTTCATAGGATGGAGGTATTATATAGTATATACGGAGTGCATAATGAATTCAGTTTATAACTAAAATACTTTAATTATAGTTCTCCACTTTGACTACATTTTATTTACGAATGGCATTAAAAATTATATTTTAAAAATTTAATGAAGTTTTGTCTTCATTATATTTTGTCTTCAAAACATTGTAAAAATCATATTTTTAAAAATTTTTACAATTAGGAAGTATAATGTGGATGGGGTTGTACATGTTCATATAAATGAAGTTTGCACATATTCCATTTGTCTTAATCAATTATTATCACACGTAATTTAGTTAAATGAATTAATAAATAATACATAGTACGAAATAAGAGAGTGTTTAAGATTACCAAACAAATGAAGACAGACATCATCTCCTTCAGCAAAAATTTCTGAGAAGCTTTTAAACTTAAAAGGTGATGAGGATGACATGGTACTCTTTTCTTGACGCTTCACCTTGGTTTCCTCATTGAAACATAGTCTGTAACGGTGGGATGATGGCCGATATTGTTCGATATTGGACCTCACAGCAAAGTTCTTCATTGCATATGTCTCACCTTCTTCTATTTGGGCTTCATAGATGCGCACCAGTGGTTGTGCTATAGTAGCTTGAATCCTATCACTCTATTGGACAATAAATTGGAGTCAATTAGATGTTATAAATTATTGTAATGAAATGAATTTTATTTACGTAACCGGAAATTATAATTGGACTTGCTCAGATGTAAATTTTAATCAATAAAATAAGTGTAAATGTAATAAAAATTATGTTAACATTAAATTGTACGTACAATTAGATACAATTAGATACATTATTATAAAAACAACCATTCAAGTTTATTTATAAAAAAACAGTTATGGCTCCAATTACTGATATATATATATATATATTGAAATAATTTTAAAAGGAAATATATATATATATATATATCCTTTTAAAATTATTTTCATATGTAAGCCGTTTATTATAAGGAAAAATGTAGAAATAATTATAAGTGGACTTACTTAGTAGAAAATTTTGATAACTGTAAGTGTAAATGTTATACGGTCGGTTTTCAATACTATTTATTATTATATTGTAAAATTTTAATACTATTGTATAATATTATAAAACTATTTTACATATGGCAAAATACCTGCTCATCTTCAAGCAAAAGCTCTAGAGAACGGACTCCCTTCTCTGTGTCTTTGTAATGAACAATCCACTTGCGAACAACACGAACCAATATCGCATGATTGGGTTCAAGTATTCCCGTGAATTCAGCCAGTTTAAGCAATTTTGGAGCCATTTAAGATCTATACAATAGAATGATGTAAAACAAAAATGTTATGGAAGAAAATATAATTGAAAGAAAAAATTAACACATGTAGGTGTTGTAGTACGTGTTAAGAAGTGACCAAGAAAACAGAAAAAACGACCTAAATAAGTGGTAGAATTGTTTGAGACCAATATGGTGGTATGCACTGGTAGGGGGCTATATATAACGTTTCCTATGATTTAGTTAAAAAGGAAAATCTTTAATGAAGGAAGGTTTTAAATTGGTACTTAAACAGGGAAAAATTACAAAAATAAAACTCAGTGAGAATAATTACTACCAAGATCTTTTGTTTTTGGCAACAAATGCTACCGAGATTCAGTAAATATAAAATATAAAATTTTGGTTAAATTAGAACTGTCTGGAGTAATTCAATCTTTATTATACACATTGCCCAAAAAAAATAACTCCTACCGAGAATATAAACTGCTTACGGTAAAAGCTGCATTAAATTAAAACCGTGTAAGTTAATCCTTCCTTAATTAGCACAGTACAAATTAAGCAAACCAAGCAACTTAAATATGGAAAATCTTATATGGAAGGTTTAAAAATCGTGCATATATTAATGGGAGGATAGTGTCTGAAATTGAAACTGTAAAAAAATCCTGCCTTAAGTAATTATACACCTACACATGAGATAAAAATCTGTCAAATCTGTCAAATTAATTGTACTACGGAAATAAAAAAACTGCTAAAAATAAAATACCTTAAATTACGCAATTAAGAAAGTTCATACCTAACAAATTATAAAAAAATGCCTTAAATAAAAGAACTCAATAAAAATCATTTTGGGCAACAGTTACTACTTCGATTTAAAACTGCTAAAAATAAAATATTCCTTAAATTAAAACTGTAAACAAATTCTGGCTCAATTATACGCATGGCCTTATATATAAAAAACTCTGTCAAAAATAATTACTACCAAGATTAAAAACTGCTAAAACTAAAATATGTCTTAAATTAAAAATAAATTAGAACTGTGTAAGTAAATTATGTCTAATTAGAAGAGAGTGACTATCTAAGTAAAATAATGAATAACATCGAATAAGATATGATGAAAGACAACAAACTATCTTCCCTATTATCTTACACTAAAAGCTGCCTTAAATAGCAGAGTACTGCTTAAATTACTTCAATCAAAATAATTCGTGCATATTTAAAGCTGCTTACAGTAATTCAATCTTAATTATAAACACTGCTTAAACTGTGTAAGTAAATCCTTCCTTAATTAACAGAATACAAATTAAGCAAAGCAAGCAACTTAAATATGGAAAATCTTATATGGACTGTTTAAAAATCGTGCATATATCAAGGAGAGGATTGTGCCTTAAACTAAAACTGCAAAAAAATCCTGCCTCAATTAATTATACATATGAGATAAAAATCTGTCAAATTAATTACAACGGAGATAAAAAACAACTAAAAATAAAATATGCCTTAAATTACGTAAATAAGAAAGTTCAATCCTAACATATTATAATAAATGCCTTAAACAAAAAACTCAATAAAATTCATTTTGACCAAGATAAATTTTTTAAGCAACAATTA